CTAGTAGACCTTTTTACTTTCCTCACAATATTCCTTACATCATCAGGGTTGACAGTTTTCCATGATGCTAACTTTGCATTGAAACCTGGAGGAAGGAAAATTGCATCCTCAGGTCGGCAACAGCCTGGAGAATTTGGCCTAAGATAGCATTCTACCGAGTTAATGAAGAAACTGTTGAATTCATCTGGGCTTGCAGCATTGATCAAGCTTTTATTTGGATTTCTACGATGGCTATTTATAATTTCCCACGCAGCCTTACATGGGTTGTGTGCTCCCCTATTGAAATTTTCATTACCTAGTTTCTTTGCTTCATTAATCCTAGACCTATATAGCTTCTTAGCTCTAAGGTAATCTCGGTAAAATCTTTCCTTTACAGCTGGATCAACTGCCTCCTTGTAATAGTCAAAGAGGAGAACTACAACATTTTATTACAACCCTACTTGCGATGTTGCCACTTCGAAGGCCGCGTCCTAGAGTTAAAGGTGGCTGTGCTCGCAATACTATGTCGACATGGGGGAACGCGTCAAGGCACCACCATGTCAACCCACCAGTAAAAGAAGAAGAAGGTTTGAGGTGGCGGGTTGACGTGGTGGCTCGTGGTTGGGGTGACACGTTGACTTGAGTGTGCACGACAACCCGCCACCTCAGATAAATGTGGGATGGCGGGTAGTCGTGGTGACACATAAACGTGTTCATACACGTCAACCAGCCACCTCTTTGGTGTGGTGGTGGGTTGACGTGATGATGGCTGGTTGACGATACGTGAGAGGTGGCGGGTTGACGGCACCGAACATTGAGAGTAAACGACAACCCACCACCTCGTAAAAGAGTGGTGGTGGATTGACGTGGTGGCACGTTGTCGCCTATGTGCGAGGAGTTGGTGGGTTGACGACGCCGAACATTTGAGCGTACACGACAACCAGCCACCTTCGTTGGCAAAAGCGGCCGTTGTCCGTGCATTATAAAATGCATCACTTTTGCAGTTGACATGAAGATTTTTGATCTTGTTTACAAAGTACTGGTGGATGTAAAAACATTAGTTATTGTTAAGACATACATTAATTTAGAAGTTGGTTTCCTATAAAGATCTGCAATAAAAATCAATTATACGCTTCCACGCAAGACGATTTTGTATTTTAATTAATAACGATTATTGTTAACAAACTTGTAAGATAAACTCACTACAAATTAACGATTGAGGGCCATAATGAAAATAACAATACTTCTTCTTTTTTCACTTGCTTTTAAACCATATTAAACATTATGAGCTTATTGTTTATTGTGTTGTGTTGTGTTTATTACCAAAATTATAGGCGCCTGGGAAGTCATACGATGGGAGAGGGCTGGAGTTAAGGTCTCTCTATTCCGTGATGGCGACGGGGACTGTAATAACAATTAACTATTTCGACATAACGTAAAGTTTTCTCCATTAAATAGCATTGGAAGCCATACGCAACAGTTTTTTGTATACTTCAATACAGATTATCGTTCAAGCCAGAACTACTGATACTGAACACTGAATATGAATATTGACAGTTGGATTACTTATTTGCCAGTTAATTCTGCAATGTACTGTATACTATTAAAAACAGGGTTTACGTTATATAACTAAGATATCTATAATTGAGACTTTTCGTTATATCTTAGAATATTAAAATAAATTATCTTACTGATGTGCAATTAGCAGCATTGTGTACTTTTATGTTAATTTATTAAGCGTATGATAAGTTAAAAAATTATGGAAATTGGATCAAAGCATAGGAATTTGCCCTGGGATGGCTGACAAAATAATGAAGTAACAAACATATTAGCAGAGGAATTATATACAAAGGCAAAATAATTTGTATATATGAAGGTACGTATCGATTAAAACACTTCTTTTTATTTTAAAACATATGTTTATAGGATGTTTACTTAACTAAAGGGTGCGCCAAAAAAACCTGACGGTTTTTGTTTTGTAATAAGTCAGTTGTTATACTAGCTAGAGACCTCATTGTTGTAGTGAAGGATTGCTTATGTTATGCCATTTTTAGGTTATGTTTGGTAAAACATCACTTCGTCGAAAGAAAGTTACTGTCTAGTGTGGTGGGGCACTGTTTGGAGTCATCGGACCATATGTTTTTGAGGACGAAAGTGGGAACTTCCCCCATCACTGTAAACTCGGAACGCTATGTGGAAATACTGAGGAGATTTTCGGTTCCACAACTGTAAATGTTAGGAGAGATACACATGACAACACATGGTTTCAACAGGACGGCGCAACTTGTCACACAGCCAATTGTTCAATGACAGTTTTGCGTGAACTCTTTCCCGGTAAAGTGATCTCTTGGTTTGGTGATGTGCTGTAGTCAGCTCGATCCCCAGAATTAATTTCGTGTGACTAAGTTGGCTATGGGGATACTTAAAAAGCAAAGTGTTTGTTTCGAAATTTCGAACCATCCCTGAAATCAAGCACTGTATCTGGGAAGAGATTGTTTCTATTCATCAGGCGAAGGTGACTGCAAATATGCACACAAAAAATTGGGAAGCCTACGTTTAGGAGAAGGACGTAACCTAAGTGATATAATTTTTCATAAGTGAAAATGGCATAGTAGTGTGTACAATATTACATTATTTAATATATAAAATTGTATTTTTTGCTTGAGTTATTTATCATTAAAAACTGTCAGGTTATTTTGGCGCACCCTTTATTTTACTTTGTGTGGATTTCTTCACATTTTAATGTTAGTATATGAGGACGGAGCTTTGCTCGGGGGAAAATCATTAGTTTACACTGAAAGCAGTTTAGTGTTGCAGATACATTAATCCACTCCCAAACTGCACACTGCTCACCTTTACTACTTCCTTCACCACTCCCTACGTCTAGACCAGTTTGCCCTCCTTCCCCATACCATTTTAGAATTGCAGATACATAAATGCCACAGACAGTTTCCACATTCTGCACTGCTAGCCTTACAACTTCCTTCACCATTTCCCACGTCATGGACCTGTTTTCCTCCCTTCTCATAGCATTTTAGGATTGTAGATACCTTAATCTAAACCTGGCATTAACAGTTCCCACACTCCTGACTGCTCACCTTTACTACTTCCTTCACCACTTCCTACGTCACGGACCTGTTTCCCTCCCGTCCAACGGCATTTTAGGATTGCAGATACCCTAATCTAATCGTCATTAATAGTTCCCACACTCCGGACTGCTTTACTTCCTTCACCACTTCCTACGTCCCAGACCTGTTTCCCTCCCTTCCCATAGCATTTTAGGATTGCAGATACCCTAATCTAATCGTCATTAACAGTTCCCACACTCCGGACTGCTACTACTTCCTTCACCGCTTCCTACGTCCCAGACCTGTTTCCCTCCCTTCCCACGTCACTCTAGGATTGCAGATACCTTAATCTAATCCTCATTAACAGTTCTCACACCCCGGATTGCTCACCTTTACTACTTCCTTCACCACTTCCCACGTCGCGAACCTGTTTCCCTCCCTTTCCATAGCATTTTAGGATTGTAGATACCTTTGTCTAATCGTCATAAACAGTTCCCACACTCCGGACTGCTCACCCTTACTACTTCCTACGTCGCGGACCTGTTTCCTTCGCTTCCCATAGTATTTTGGGATTGCAGATACCTTTATCTAATGGGCATTAACAGTTCCCACACTCCGGACTGCTACCTACTACTTCCTACGTCGCGGACCTGTTTCCCTCCCTTCCCATAGCATTATAGGATTGCAGATACCTTAATCTAATCGTCATAAACAGTTCCCACACTCCACACTGCTAGCCTTTACTACAATCGTAGATAAAAAAAGTCCTGCTAAAATGTATCGAGTAATCTTCAGTATCTTTGCTCAATAATAACTGATGTTTTTCCTTTTGTACTGTATTTTGTAATTTGCTAGTATACTGTATTGTGGATAGACTACTTATAAGTCTTTTGTTTACTTTTTCCTTGTTATTTAATTCAGCCAAGATGGTTACTTAGCAACCCATAAGACAAATGTTAAAATAATGTGACTTTCAGTTCCATTTTTCTACGTAATTAGATTTTTGTTGGCAGTTCTAAAGACTGCAGTCAACTCGTTTTTAGACCAGGAATAAACTATTTACAACATTTGAAAAAAATTGTCGGAGCCGTTTTCGATATATTTGTGCTAGCAAGCAAGCATACATACAAGCAAACATTGCTCATATTAGAGTATAGGATTGTTGTTTTACCAAATGTTTTTGTAGTAGTTTTTGTAATTGTAGCCTAATGTTTTACTTTTGAATGGGGATATTCATTATGCATAAGTTACCAATGATAGTTGTGACACTACAGTGGTGGAACACCTGCTTAACATATAATAATGCACATATATATTTTTTTATTCTTTAACTTATTTGAGCAATTAGCAAGGGATTGGTACAATTCCGACCTGTACACCGACACAAAAAGCATACTACTATTACCCAGAATGCTAACTGAGAGAGCTTTGCCTGTCAATTTGAAGGCAGCTGCCTGCGAATTGACAGGCAAAGCTCTTTCGGTTAGCATTCTGTGTAATAGTAGTATGTTTTCTGTGTCATCGATTAGGTAGAGAAAATGAGACGTCATGATGTCACTACTCTGGGTGGGGTACAGTTTTGCCACCCCACTGCACCCGTCAGCTATGGCCATTAAAGTTTAAAAGAACACTTCCCCACCCTCCCAAACTCTTTGGCATGGGTCTCCTCAAAGCAAAATCCTGGCTGTGTTAATGCTCAATATTGTTCTAATTCCTCCATCTTCCAAGTTGCATCACTGTCAAAAACCTAAATATCTTGGAGTAAAGTAGCAACTATTTTCAAACAAATCAAATGAACAAAAACGTAATTTGAGATTGAGAATCTTTAAAATTCATTATCACCAAACCACTGGTATAAAAAAGTATTCAGATTATCAGATATAAGAGTTATGAACTAATACACTGGATATTTAGCATGATGGGATCAGAAGACAAAACAAAAATTGTTTTTTTATAAAAAATGACAATGTTTATAACAAGAAAATATACAATAGGTAATAATACTTATTGTCATTAAACACTAACAATAAATGCTTAACTGTTTTAGTAAAGCATCATGGCACTTCCTGCTGAGGTCCACAAGAGCCATGCTCAAGTACCCCTTCGTTACAAGTCGAAACCCAACATACAATACGTGGAGTAGGAACTATAAAACAAACTAGATTAACAGTCACTTTTATAACGTATCTTTGGATGATTCACTTTACACTAACGAGCACCATTCATTTTGAGATTAGTTGTTTAAACTAAAATTTCCAATATGTATGAACAAAATAACTATTAAGAAGAAGTCTTGTTGGAGGTACATACAAATTTTGTCAAGAACACAGAACAAAATCTCATCTAATCGTATCCAAATAATGTTCAAATGCAAAAGTTTAAAGTGTAATAAGGTAAAATGAAAATGTAAAATAGTACAAAAGTGAAGTGGATGCAATGAGATAGTTTGATGAAACATGTGAAAGAGGATAGTATTTTACCAAAGAAAAGTTTTATAAAATGTAAGTAAAATATTTTGTAAAATACAATGATTAGGTAAAATTAATTGTAAGATTAAAAAAATTAAAACCAATTATTACAATGCTAAGGAGTATGAAACTAGCATTGTAGTTCATGTGGCCATTAATTAATAAGTTTAGCACATTTATTTATTTGGTTGGCATATTTTAGGTAATTTGTAATAACTCCAACAAAGACTACGTTACATTTAACAACTTTTTGCAATAAAAATTAAATTACATTAAATAAACTATACTTTTTTGTCAACTTCATTATTCCTTATTTAGTATTAAATTCTTTGGCGATAAAATTACAAATGAGAAAACAACTATAAACATAAGCTAAAGAAAAGACATATTTTGGTAAGTTTTAACACAATTTGTCTAAATATCTGAAGAAACATAAACACTAAACAGAATATCTAGTTATAAGTAATGCTACTTACAGCTTCAAGTCAAATACATAAGGTAATCAACAATACTGGTAAATGCATTTCCCTATCAAACTAAATATGGAGAGTGAAATTAAGGCTTTGGATGATGTTGATCTTAATCTTTATTTACTTTCCCATGTTGTTAATCCAAAAAGAAATAATTCAAACGAGAATAACAATATAATTTCTCTAACATCTTCACACAAAAATGACATGTGAGTTATTGCACTTTTTGGTAACAGGGGGTAACCATACACGGTTGTGCCAAAGGTGAGATTCAAACAAGTAGGTATTCAGTCTATTCGATAACATGGACCATAAATTAACTTGTATTGGAAAGTTTGGTCCATTGGAATGTTTTAAGTCTTAGCAATTGATAATTCTCCGTATAAAAATATACATTTCACATTCGTAACTTCCAAACATGTAGGAAAACACTATATTACAAGGCTCTTATAAAGCTATTCATACAAAATGTAAACACTGGTGTTATTTAAATATTTCAGTCTTAAGACAGGAACTGAGTTTTGACTAAGGAATGCAAGCCTCCCCTGGTATGGCTAACATTGGACTTAAAAACTTTACAAAAATAATCCTTTAAAGGGATTATTTTCCAACTCTTTACCAGGCAAAAACATTCATATTAAAATATATTTAATACATTAACCTTTGTTTCAAAAATACATTTAGAATTATATCTGTATTGGCTCATGTATTCAAATAAAAAAAACGTTGAATCAACTAAACTAACTAACTATTCACGTTCAGTAATGACACTGTATGTCAAAAAACTTTAAGAAAGGAAAATCTGTAAACAGTGAAAATTACACTTCAATATAAATACTGCTTTTGGTTTTTTATATCACTTTTGTTTGAGTACTTGACTCGGTAACCTACAGTATTATCACAAGTATCTTTGTAGTGACATGGTGGAGCTAAAAATTTTCTAAAATTCATATTAAGAGTTACTCACACATAGAGCTTTATTTGACGTTTTTTGTCATGTTTAAATAATAAACTAGAGCAAATTGAGAAAAACTTATTCAAGGTCATATGTGAACAAAATTTCAGAACTTAAAAGTTTCAATATCGTTATTTAGGTGTCATCAAACTTTGTATGCTACATAAAATTAATTAAACTTTTTGAAACAAATCCAATAAACGTTTTAGAATTAATACCAGTTGTAACAGCTGCTCTAGTTTTTACATTGGACAAACCACTTGCTCATGCAACACAAGGTAAAAGGAACTGCTACCAAAACTATCCATTCACAAACACAGCCCTGCTGTTTCCGATCATCTGATTTATAATAAAAACTATGTCTTATATATTGACAAAAAGATAGACATACTGAACTACATTCCTATAGTAGTTCACAGTTTGGATCGGATAGTTAAGGCTCGGCTCGGATATTGTAATGTTTGGATTAAGATATTTTTGGAATCAGATAGTTTGACATTTAAATAATTAACAAAATATAGAAAATAAATTAATATATAAATTAATGTTATAGCAAGTTAAAAATAAGCAGCAAACCCAATAAACACTGTAATACTATGTAAATAGACATTCCAGTCATGTTTTGTAATTTAACATTCCTTAAATATGATATTGCGCAATCATGATATTATAAGTTATTGACCTTTGTGAGGAAACCAGTCCTGCAGAACAGATGCACGTCGATAATAATAATTAACAAACATTTATGTGCCTGTAGTTGAAAACAAATAATTTTTTTTAGATGATAAAAATATAAGATAACTGATAAAAAGTATAACATCATATTTAAACATAATAACTCTTGTAAAAGTGTAAGATAACAACAGTCTGGATTAATGATGTCTCTATTGTGACATCGCACAGCCGACAGATATATTAAGAGCAGACAGATTGACAGCGCAAATAGATATAAGAGAGAAAAAGGTGGTGAGTTGATCTTAGTGAGGCCAAAAACCTACTGAGGTTAGTAGCCACGCAGTCGACATTGTGTTCACATGAGCAACACTGCCATTTAGCTGCCAGGCTGTGACTAGAATTTGGCGGCCCGGCGAGGTATCAGTTCACACGAGCGATAACTCCACTGACTAGAGCAGTGTAAATGAATGAGCATCGATATTTAAAAGCTATTTAAAAGGAGTACATGGAGTTGAATATGTGCACAGATCAAGAAAATTTACAGGAAATAGAGGAGTACCTGTATATATTTTTATTTTGTGGATGTAAACGCAAATCATTACTTAAATAAATAAAATTAAGTTAAAGTGCATGCCACAAACCGCTGTAGAGATATAGTATATTAATAAAACTTTGTAAAAAAAAGAAAAAAATTTAAACTAATTGTTTGTTAGCCTTATGCATCAATTGGACCTCACCGACAAGTTTTTTAAACTTGGTGAGGCCAAGCTGTTGTAATTTCCATAGTAAATATATTTGAATTTGAATGTATTTACTCGGTACCACAGTGACTGGGTTTATTAAGTACCAAAAGTGGAACTATACGGATCCGAAAATATCCGAACTGAGCCTTAACTATATATTGAGCTCGGTGACAAAGCTTAGCGTTTCATCAAGTCCATGAATCGATCCATAGCCATTTTGTCTGGCTGTAATGGCGTTGACGAAAGCATCGTAATAGCTGGGCCTTTACGGTGGTCTCGCTCTGCAGTAGTTTCTGTTGAGCTTGAGATTTCATCACGTTGTAGGTCTACTGGTGATGGTGGAGGGTTAGTCCATCCACTAGCTTCATCCTTCTTAGAGCCTAGATCCATCATATCCTGCAATGTTGAATAGTGAATGAAAATGATTTATAACAAAAAGCCCTTGGTCTAAAACTCGACCACAAGTATGTATTGTACAAAATTCTTTTTTTACCCCAAGCTGTAAATAAAACATGTGATTGGAATTTGTTTGGATTTTCTGTTTATATTTTTTTGTTATTTTGTCACCAGCATAGCAACCCATAAGGCCCATGTTAATTTTTTTTTTATTTCAAATTCATTGTTCGTGTTTATTTTAAAGCCTAATTTAATTTATAAAGGGATTCTGCACATCTACAGGAAAATATCTTTCATTTCGTACCAACCTCGTGTAATTCGGTCCAGTAGCATAGCCAGGTTAACTGTCGTAAGTTTTGCAAAAGTTTTTTAGTATATAAGATTATGAGGTTGACCCTTAGCGGTCGGAAGGCCACTACATGTGGCCACGAGATCCATAGCGGGACAAGCTGTAATATAAATACGAAGCGACGTGCCTATAGCTCGGCAGACCACTCATCCAACCCCCGCTCTTTTCCTGGTTTGGCTGCATTATTACTACTCTTGTTTATGTCTTACACTTGGATTTAGATGCCATGTTGCGAGCCTTTTAACTCAAAAACACTGATCTTTAACCTAACATATAACTGTTAACTTGGTCATCATTAGGATTCAATTGTGTATGCTCGTATTTAATAAAAAATTTTAGGGATGGTCAAGTCTCAAAATTTCGGGAAATTTTAAATCTTGTTACACGAGACGAGATTTCTTTTTGGCCGAGATTTTTATCGAGACGAGAAAAAAAAAAAAAAAAATTAAAAACGCCTGCAGAAAGTCAATGCAATACCCGCAATACAGGAGCGTGTTGTAGTTGCGTTTCCTTTGCGAAGGCGTTCTTATTTAATTAATTCTTTAAATGTAAATATTACTTTAATTATTTTAATAATATTACTTTAATAACATTTGAGAAGTTTTGTTAAGTGTAAGCAGTGTGAGGAATGTTTTATTAAAAAGTCAAAACAAGTAACTATTTTATAAAAATTAATATTGCTTTTATTTTATGATTTATTTGTTATGCTGATGTTTTTTTAATAAAAGATTGTAAATATTCTTGCCTATTATCATTATTTTTGTATTTAAACAGTCATCTAACAATGTTACAAAATCAGGTAAAACTTTGAACGTGCATTTCCCGTTGTGTATGAGAAGGGAAATCCCGTCTCGAAATTTTATGAGAAATAAAAAATCTCGTCTCGTCTCGAACTAAAAATCCAATCTTGTCCATCCCTAACAAATTTATTAGGCTTATTCAAATATTAAAACGTTTATAAAAATTAAATTATTTAACCCTGGAACTGCCGATCGGTCATTTTATGACCGACAGGGTCCGTTCCGTAGTGCCATCGGTCACAAAATGACCGATCCAGTATTTTTCATATATATAAGCTTCTACTCATCGGAACGAAGTATTTTATGCATCAATGTAAAGCCAAAGAGGTTGGCTGCCTGCTAATATGACAGTTTTTACGTTTTATTGTATTGGCGGGCCTGCTAACATATGTTGATCAAAGTGTTTGTTGTTTCTATGCAGTAGTGATGTCGTCTGTAAACACGGTCGGTTATCTCGTATTTATTTCGTTGTTTTTGCGTGTTTTTCGGATCAAAAAGTTGTTTGTACTTATTGATAACCTCGTTTAGTTATATTCAAAGAGTGTTTTAGTAGTTTCCATTGTTATTTGTGAATATTTAGCGAACAAAGTGGACTTTGAAGTGACATTATGTGTGGGGGTTAGTTTGTTTTGTTGGATTACAAACTTGATATTTTTACAATGGAAAATTATGCAGGACGATCCAGTGATTTACGTGAATTATTGATGAACGATCTTAGTGAAACTAATGATAATATTGATTCTGAAGTTGAGCCAGTGGAATCAGAAGAATCAGTCGTGGTGCCGGTAGGCCTAGGGGCAAGCCCATCAGTGAGTCAGCCTTGTGATGAGACAGGTGATGAATCAGATCTTGATGTAGACATTTATGGTTTGACACCTGAACATAGTCTTACAGACTTCTCCTCTGGATCAGAAGATGACTATGTCCCACATAGCAGTGAATTAGATACCAGTCAAAGAGAAGTAACAGATTTAGACGTAGGCCTAGATGTACCAACCGTAGGTTTGGGTCCACCTGCTCCACCTCCTGGTCCTGGAGGGGATGCAGCAGCTAGGCTAGGAATACCCCCAATTCCAAATATTACTAGGCCTATTTGGACAAGGGTCTACCCCCCAGAACCTGAAGGGGAGGATATAGAAACTAAGTTTACTGTGAGAAATACTGGGATTAGAGACTGTCCACCCCGCAACAGCAAGCCAATTGCTTACTTCAATTTGTTTTTCCCCTACGCAATCTGGATGTTATTCACAACTGAAACCAATGCATATGCATCCAGAGAAGTAACTCGAAGGAGATTGTCGGGGGAATTGAGGGGACAGTCACGGTTACGACACTGGGTTGACGTAACATACAGTGAAATGAAGAAGTATATAGCGCTGGTGATAAATATGGGCCTAATTGGAAAAAAAAATCTTATTGACTATTGGGACCAATCTTTCAGCCAGAGAGTTCCATTTTTCCCTGAAATTATGTCAAGAAACCGTTTCCAGGCTATATCGTCAATGTTTCATCTCACTTCAGAGCCTTTTATCGCTAAAGGAGAACCGGGTTATGATCCTTGGCAGAAAATAAGGAAACTCCTAGATCACTTGAATGATGCTTTCAAAAGACATTTTGTCCCTTCCCAGAACCTAGCAATCGATGAAAGTATGATAGGAATGAAGAATCGGACAATATTTATACAATATATGCCTAACAAGAGACATGCGCGCTTTGGAATTAAAAAATTTGAAATATGTGACAGTGCTACCGGTTATTTGCTCCATACTGCCCTATATAGTGGTAAAGACTTTTTGAGTGATGGAGATGATCCATTCACTCAAAAAGTTATATTTGAGATGATGAATCAGACTCGATTGTTGGGGAAACATCATCATGTCTTTACAGATAACTTTTACACTAAGCTACCCCTAGCCGAAGCTTTGTTACGCAACGACACATATCTAACTGGTACAGTAAACAAGAAGTCTAAAGATTTATCCCGAGCAGTGGTAGGAACACAATATGAGGCAGGTCAAACTGTTTATTTCAGGAAAGGAAAGGTGTTGCTCGTCGGCTATAAGCAAAAAAAGAAGAGGAAACCCGTTTATCTTATAACAACTGCTTGCCATGCGGAGGATAGAAATATAGTTAGTCGCAGTGGGCTACAAGCTGTGAAACCCCTAGTTATTCACAAGTATAATCTATCTATGGGGGGTGTGGATCAAAAAGATAAATCCATATATCATCACTCATGTACCAGGCCAACTCGCAAGTATTGGCGAAAGATATTCTTCAACCTAATGGACATGGCCATGCTAAACGCCTACATTTTATACTCCAGGAACACAGATCACCCTCTTTCAAGGAAAAGATTCATGGTGGATATTGTTGAAACACTTGTCAGGCAACAACCACCTGCAGAACCTGTTCAAGTAAATCCCTTGGAACACAATCTAGTGCAGTTTCCATCGAATCAAAGGAGAGTCTGTCCCGTCTGCGGAAAAAAAAGCAGCTGGAGGTGCCCTGGGTGTAATGTTGGTGTTCACCCACAGTGCTTTGGGAGGTTGGAACACTTTTACAGGCCACTAAAGTCAAAAAAAAAGAGACCAGCCACAGAAAATGAAAGTGACTCTGACTAAAGTCAGGAACAACAATCGCCCTCTTCTGGCCAAGTTGCCTTCGGCCAAATTTTTGCAGTTCCTTGTAAAAATATTGCTATTGACAATCAAATCTTGAGTGTTTTACTTTATTACTTTTGTGTTTATGCCTGAGTAGGCTATTTCAAATAAGAAAGTGAATTATAATTTTGGTTTATTATTGTTATGTGACTGTTTGTGAACATTTATCTTCTTGGAGTTCATCGTTACCGTGGATACATAGTCCAAAAATTAGCAGGTATGCTTTTCAAATTATGTTTAGTTTAGATTTTTGTTGAATTACATTGTTTAGTAGCACATTAGGACTGACTAGTGCTGTATTTCATGACTTATAATAATAATTCTAGACACATATGTTTCCCATATGTCTGGTTCGCGCAGAATTTTCACCGAGCACATCATGTGAAAAATCTCAAATTTTATGAATAATATATTACTTTTTCAGTAAACAAAATTTATTTCTAAAAACTAGATAAAATTTGCAACAAAATGTATATTTTGGAATTCTTGTGGCATTTCTGATGTGTATTGGACATGAGACATAAAATGCGGAAATGATTTTTTTATAAAATTTGTGTATAAAAAAATATGGTGTGTAAAAATTTTTTTTTGTTATTTTACAAAATAAATTTTACCATTGTATTCCTTGTTATTTTCTGAATAAAATGATGTATAATACATTACTTAAGTCATACAAATAATATTTTTTACGAATTTTTAAAAAAATGTATGTTAATTGCTGAAAAAAGTGTTGGCATTTGAAGAAATTTAATTGGCAGTTCCAGGGTTAATATTCTTAAATATAATAAAACACAATGTGTCATTTATGGTTAAAACAGATTCAATGGCAATGAAAATGGTTAATTTACAACAAAATATATATAAAAAAAAACTACAAATCCAAATATATTTTACAAGTTATTATGATTATTGATTATTGTACAGTATTATGCAAATTATCAGCTTTATGAGTTTAGTGATAAGTAGAAAGAGTTTAGGTAAGACATAATATTAATTTCAAAGCTTAGTACTTAAAACAAAATAATATAGAATATTATTGTATATAAAACCGTTAATATAAAATAAAATGCTGATCTTCCTCTACACCTTCAATAACAAACTAAATTGAAAGATCATCTTCGTCGACTCATAATAAATCTGGTATAGTATTGGATGTTAGGATTCTATTTGAGGCCATTTTAAGTCATAAATATAAATTTATTACAAATTAAAAGGATTTAAAAGGACTATAGCACAACAAAAGCCGATAACTCACTTAGGAAAAACAATAATATTATTACAAGCTCATAAAAACATCAACTTGTTGTTGTCTCCAGATAGTTCCAATGATTTTCAAGGGAGCACAGCACCCAAGCGGAGATAATCGAAAACAAAATTACAATGCTAAATATTATGAAGAGAAACAGGGGCCACTATAGGGTGGCCAGCCGAGCTGAACAGGGATTGCGTAGAGGCCCTGAGGTTGGCGTGGCCGGCCCGAGCTATGGAGCTACCTTCAGAGCTGACAATGTTGTGTCATTTAACAAAATGGGAGGGACTAAGAAAATGGGAAAATGGGAGGGCCTTCCCGATCCATAGGGAAGGGAAAGTGAAGGATTAATACGAACCCAAAGGTTCAATACAAAAAAATTAGGTGATATTCTTTAAAAAAATATGAGTAGGTAACAAGTTCCAAAATTGTAAATTCTACTGTTCTCAAATTCTTATCAGTCACTATTCAAAATTATTGACGGTACAAATGTTTTGTTTTTGTTTGTAAAATCTTTGCTTTACAAACTCAAATCTATCTATATACTTAATGCAGGAAGGATTTTTTCCGTTACATCCCCTTTCTAGCTGTCCTGGTAGTACTAACCCGAGTTTTACGATTAAGACGTTATTTAAAGCTTATGATATAGCGCACCTGCGAATGGTAATTAAATAGATGATTTACTTTAAGGCTTCAGCCCAAATTAAAATGTATTTTAAATAGGCTGCTTTTTTGATAACTGTGACCTGATTAAGGTAAGTAAATTACTCTTTACAGTTTAGATCTAAAATGAACAAATTGATTGAAAAATCATATTAAAACTGCAGTTGCATTGAGTCAAAATCCCAATATGTCAAACACTTTATCAGAGACTATATTTTCAGCCCTGACATTTATTATATTTGACTTTATGGGTTTTTGACCTACTGAAATACACAAATTTTGTCTAGGTAGTTTTTTATCTACCAACAGGTACTGTACCGGTATCAAAAATCAATAGATTTTGGTATCGACATATCTTAAAAAAAAAAATTTCAAACCTCTTTAGTTTAACATACATATAGTTCAAAATTGTAATATAAAACAAATTATGAACAACCAGACATTTATATTAAAAAAACAACAACTACTTACAGTTGAAGATTCATCTGGAGGGGTGAGCGGTAAATTCTCCTGTAAAATCTCTTTGGTCTCTGATTCCTTTATCTTAATCTTTTTGAAAATATGTTTGGGCAGTGATTCTTCACATTCTTTTACCTTCTCTAAAATTTGATTGACAATGCTTTGCTGCAACGGTTGAGAGCCAAATTCACCTGAACAGAATAATTGATCAAATTCAAATAAAAAACATCTGAATAACTGTAACCTGCATTTATGACAGATTAAATAATTGTTCTAATAAACAATAGGTATCTTGCAGCTTATAATGCAGATGGGACAACCTTCATGAGCAGAACAATAGTGGAGCTACAAACAACCACTAACCCAAACTGCAATGAGGGATGACTCAGCATGGATTCAGTTAAATAGAATTCTTCAGAAACAACAATAAACTCGAAATAACCCCGCTGCAGCAAACCTGCCGTCTAAGCGAATTTCCATTTGCCTGAATTAATTTTCATTTAAATCTATTTAAATAACATTTGGGTTAACAAGTACCTAGGTTCTCTGTTACAGGGAAACTAATAAGTGTGTTTGTAGTAAAATTTTAATACCTTAGTAAAAAGTAATAAATTTGCCAAGTTTGATCAAAATATATCCATAAACTACAAAATTTTACAATATTCTCCATAAAAAAAAAACATAGGAGTTTTAATATCACATTGTTTAAATTTTCTCCGTATTTAATAACCGTATAAAAACACTTTGATATACTGAATAATATGGTTTTTTAAGCTCTTTAAAAAGGTCTAGAGAGAAATCGGACAATTTTCGTATTAGGGACAAAAATGAGAAACACCATTTTTTACCCCATAAAACCCCGTTCCCATGGTCTGATCATGCTGATTCGCTAACTCATCCAAGTTTATCCTGCCTTACACCTTCAAACCAAGCACGAGGCAAAACAGCTAGGCTTGTGCTTGTTGGGAAGGTGAAGGGAGACCCAGACCTGCCATCCTCTTAAAGACCTCTGTGTATATTGGATACGGCTGGCAAAGTCCTCGAGAAGTTGATCCGTTCCTGACTGAATTCAGCCGTGGTCGCTGCGGGGGACCTGTCCCCTCACCAGTTTGGATTCAGGATGGGACGGTCTAGGGTTGACGCTGTTGAGGAGGTGAAGCAAGCCGTGATGAGAGCTGTGGATTTTAACCACTACTCTCATAGGGTTGTTTTGCTCGTAACACTCGATGTGCGAAAAGCATTTAATTCCGCGAGGAAGTGCGATATGCTGGATGCTCTGGAGACCACCTTCCACGTTCCGGCATACCTCATGCATATCATAGAGGATTATCTCCAGTTCCGCCTCCTCATGTAGACACTACAGAAGGCCCACAGACGATGAGTGTCACTTCCGGTGCTGCCCAAGGTTCCATACTCGGCCAGACCTCTGGAATGTCGCGTATGACAGCCTCCTGAGGTCTGAAATGCTTTAGGAAACTGTTTTGGTTGGGTATGCAGACGACGTTGCAGTTTTGATAGCTGCATGTAGCATTGAGCTGGCTCAGCTAAAGCTGAACTGAGTTATGTGTACCGTAAAGGCATGGATGGCAGACTACAGTCTCTCGCTCACTTTGAGCAAAACCGAGATTGTGATTTTGACAAAAAACCGGATTGACACCACCGTACCATTGAGGGTAGGGGCCGTCGAGGTCCAAACCGTTCAGCCAAGTACCTTGTGGTCATGGTGGACACCAAGCTTAGCTGAAGGGATCAGATCTTCCGTACAGCGGACAAGGCCGCTAGGGTGGTTTCTTCTCTTGGCCGGTTGTCGCAGGGCCAGGGTCCAGCCGTAGAAGGCTGTTAATGTTTTCGGTCCAGTCTCTTGTACGGTGCGGAGGGCAGACGCTCTCAATAAGGAGGTGTATAGGATGCGGCTCGTTCGAGTGCAGCGTGAGGCAGCACTAAGGGTAACATCAGCCTACCGATCAGTGTCCAAGCCCTCCATCCTGGTGGTTGCTGGAGTCATCCCTGTCAAACTTTTAGCAGCGGAGAGAAAGGCAATTTAACAGCACCGTGGGGAGGACCAGGCACAAACAGAAGAACACACCTGCACCTACCAGCTGTGGCAGGAGACATGGGAACGCTGGACCAGACGACTGATAAAACAAGTCCAACCTTGGGTTAATCGGCGGTGCGGAGAGGTGACCTTCTACCTCACCCAATTTCTGACGGGTCAGGTCTTTTTCCGGTCGTACCTGTTCAGGATGGGCAAAGCTGTGTCACACGATTGCATATACTGCACAGGCATTCCCGATGACGTGGAACATATTTTATTCCACTACCAGCGTTGGGAAAGGCCCCGCCTGGAGGCTCGACAGTTCTTAGGACTGCTGTCGGTGGACACGGTCATACCGATGATGACAGAGGGTGAGGACAATTGGAACTGTGTGTCACATTACATCCACCGTATTCTCCCTGCCAAGAAGCTTGACCTTGACCGGGATGCGGTGCAGGTCATAAAGAATCTAAATGCCACAAACAGTTTGAGTCCTGAGGGCTTAGGTCACATGTTGGCCTTACTTGAAGTAATGTGACTAACAATTCCAGTTCTGTGTCCAACAGAGTAGAGGGGTTTTTTAGTGAGAAGTCTGATAAATTCAGGAGTCTCACACTACAGGCTGGCTACCTGTGTGCGTAAAAGCATTTTACGCCACACTACATTATTTTGACGAACTTCCCACACAAGGATATAGTCCAGAAAACAGCTGTTTGCCGCCAGCTTATTCAAATGGGGTTTCATTGCGTACTACTGTACTGTAATGAGTTTTACCGGACATCAATCAGCTGATTATACTGTATTTAGGTGGCAATGAATGGTTATAAACAAAAACATAACCTGTCTTACAGGTTATGACTAGTGATTTTTAGTCCTTTAGTTGGTGGAAATATATAAGGATTTGTACAGATTTATTAGTATGCCGTAAACTATCGTATGTAACTTGCCCAAAAATGTGTGTACCGGACTTGTATGGTAATCCCGTACTCGACTTCCTCTCGCACGGGAACGACCACATTCGTCTGGTAAACACTTATTTTCAGGACTAGTAACGTAATATACTATTCCCTCCTCTCGCAAATCTTTATTAAGATTTTTAGATCTTTTTTAAGAATCTTCAATCGTTTTAGAAGATTTGGGTGTTTATTAAATAATTATGTTCCATTTTTTTGGGAAGGAGCTGTATTGTATTTCTAATCTATGGCATGTTTTAATGGTTTACTTTTTTTGTGTTTTAATGTTTTTACTACTGAGTCCGTTACCTGGAAAGTGTTTCTGAATCAGGTATGCGGCCACTTGGTGTGCGTTGCTGTTGTGCAGGCTACTGGCCTCATACTGGAACCAGTGTATTGTGTCTGTCACACTAACTTCTTTCCACTTTAGCAACAAAGTGACCTACAAACATACATCGTATAATGATGAGAAACTCGTCAATACAGTATTATAATACTTAAAACTAAATATTAATTTTCAAAAACAAAATATCCAACTTTCTTGTTTGTTCCTTAAAAATTCATTCAAAGTAGGTGTCTGCAGTGCATAAAAGAATTTGGTGCGGTGGGTTCTCGTACAATGACCGCCACTGCATCAGTACAGTACTACATTTTACTCGGTACATATTGGATTTGGTACAGCCTACAATGATTCCTTTCAATTCACCATCGTAGTCAAAAAATAGTTTCCTTCAAGTAAAACAACAAGAGACAAGCCAGATGTTACAATGAATTAACGTAGTTGTCGCACAATATGAACAGACAGCAAGTAGACGCAATGTAAGCAAGACAGGGTTGCCACCATAGTGGGATGATAAAAGTCATGCAGAATTTATGGTTTTCATTGGTAGTTTAAAAAAATTCATGGTCGATGCGCTTATACAATTTCAACACAATTGAGTTTTGCTTATTTCATAAACTAACGTTAAAGAGGCAGTTTCTTTGTGTGTTACTTTTGAATAACCTTTCATACCTAATATACACATTTTTTTTTAGAGTGATTTATAAAAATTCAATACAAAGTTGAAAACAAAACAGGTCCAGCTTGTATTATAACTACATGAGATATTGGAGAAGAATTGTAAAATATATTAGTCTAGGTATAATTCAGTCTTTCCACCGGAATATAACAAAAATCCCACTCACCCAGCCAAAAAAGTCCCGTTTTATCCCCCTACATAATTGCCATAAAATGTACATTCTGGGGTTTATCTTATTCCACAACATACTAAGATATAATGGTATCCACAAAAAGCTAAAATAAAATCAGGCGTCAGAGTCAGAAATTCGGTTTTATTGCGCATCCCGTTTCAATTCAGTGCATGGTCTAAAACTTCTGTTTTTGTGATTAAGTCCCCATACACCCTTTTCATACGCGGGGGTAGGCCTACTAATGATTTTTCGAACCATATACAGTCCGCGGGAAGTCTCAGCTGACATTAGCATCTTTGGATGACTTGGAATGAACTAAGCAATTGTTTTTGATCGTGGAACTTGGAAAATTTAATAAATTTTAAATTTGGTACTGGTTGAATAATTTTTCTGTTTTTTTTTTTTTTATTCATGGTCCATTGGAGAAATCCATGCATAATCCATGCCCTTTTTCATGGTCACAAGAATTCATGCATAATTCAAGCTTTTCAAGGTTTTCATGGCTGGTGGCAACCCTGAAGAGTTGTTTTGAGACGTAGGAATTGGCCAACTCTGTAAAACGCTAACTCGGTCGTGTGTCGGAACTGGCTAACTAATTCATCGACTTCAAATTAAAGGCTCGTCGTTGAATCATCCAACTTATGTGTAAAAATATGACATAACTAAGGTGTCTCAGTTAGTTGTTTAAGTTTTTTTATGTTTTAAGTTTATTAGTCATGTATTCGTGTCATTATGTCAGGGTTTTGATTGCATAATAATCTTTGAGAGGATAACAAGGTTACCTGAAATGAAAAGAGTTCAAACTGGTACAGAATACACTCACTATATACACAACATTAGACGATTTCACTGTCACTTGCAGCATTTTCAACTAGGGAAGAGAATTTTTATTGGGTTAGTTTTCTAAATAAAACTATCTCTTCCTTAAAAATGCTGCCTTTGTCCCAAAGTCTGTAACGCTACCAAATGAGCTACAGGCATCGGTTTCAGTTTTGAGATTCAAAATATCTGGTTTTGACAATCACAAGAAGGTATTACAATGTTTTTTAAATGTTTGGTACAGTAATTGCTTTAAGAAAACCATGGATAATGTAGAATAATGTCCATCTTTACAGTAATGTAAATGTATCAAAATAAAAATAATGGTTCAATTCACAATCCCTAAGAAAATGTCTAAAGCACTGGTGGGTGTGTACCATACCGATTTTGTACTTAGAATCGAGATATAAAACAATGTAATGTACCTAACAGTACCGACTTTAAATATTAATAAAAAATTTTTTAAATATGCATTACAAATATGTATACATTTTTCGTGCTGCAGACCTAGTTTAAAGATTAGTGTTTTAGTCAGTTAAGTCTTTACATTTTTGTTTGATTTTTTGGATTGGTATGATTTCTTTTTAAATGATCAGTGAACCAAGTTAAACAATTCTATGAATAAACCTAAACGGATAATAAAAAAACGGTCGTAGGTAAATAATTATAGTTTAACTTGTGTATATTTAGTGGTTGTGAAAAAATGCTTCTAAATCTCATCATAATTCCCAGAGTTCATCATATAGTCCAGTAAAATAAGACATTTTGGTATGCAAAAGGTCGGGTAGTTCTGATTTTTGGATATGTTGTTAGTATTGGGCCCATAACATAAAATCCAAGTTATCCACCTCGAGATACTGCCGCTCGCCGCGGGGCGCGCCACTTGTTATCGAAATATCAAAAATATGGCAATTCCTATTGTTTTTCACTCAATTTCGGGAACCGTTGATTTTACCGAAAATTTTATACTATTACATTAAAGAAGAATAAATTTGTGACAGTTTAAGCCCAACAGCAAGTATGTAGCGTAAATAATGGTCAAAATACAGACCATCAAAATAAATAAATTTTCCAAAGACGTATAAAAATTGTGTTTTTTTTTTAAATATTTCCACAATATAGTTGTTTGAAGCAAACACCGTATTGATTTAGAGAGTATGCCAGTTTATTTGCTATTAATAGAAAATAAATGAAAGTATGAATAAAAATACCCCTACCTCAGCAAACCTGCAGACTAAGCGAATTACCATTTGCTTGATTTGATTTTCACAAACCTATTTAAATAACATTAGGTTTAACTGGTACCTAGGTTTGCTGCTACAGGGAGGGTAATATAGTATATAAAATAATAATAGTATGATGAGAAACAAATCAATTTACCCAATTTTATAAAAATGTGTCTATAAACTATTGGAATAACTTGAGGTTTTTAATTTACATTTTTTAATTTTCTCCGTAACCAATAACTGTAAAAACATTTTAATGTACTAAATTATTTGTTTTTAAGCTCTACAAAATGGTTTAGAGAAACATTGTAAAATTTTATGTTTTGAGGGTCAAAAATACGAAAAAAAACGTTCGTTCTTAACTAAAAATCCCATAAAGCAACCGTTCCCATGGCCTGATCATGCTTCGCGAACTCGTTTTAATAAATGTAGGTTTACATGCCGAAAAACAGGCCTTCAAAATATACCTTCAACGGCAAAACTACTCTTCCCAAAGCTGTCAAATGTTTATACGTAAACATTTAAGCTATATGATCGGCATGATAAGGCCATAGGAACGGTTGCTTTATAGGTATTTTGCCGGTAAGAATATTTTTTTTATTTTTTAACCCTCAAAACATACAATTTTACAATTGTGTCATTAAAGAATTTTGTAGAGCCTAAAAACAAATAATTTAGTACATTAAAATGTTTTTTACAGTTATTGGTTACGGAGAAAATTAAAAAACGTAAATTAAAAAACCTCAAGTTATTCCAATAGCGAAGATTTGTAATTATTGTTTTTCCCTTATTTATAGACACATTTTTATAAAATTGGGTAAATTTATTTGTTTCTTATCATACTATTATTATTTTATATACTATATTACCCTCCCTGTAGCAGCAAACCTAGGTACCAGTTAAACCTAATGTTATTTAAATAGGTTTGTGAAAATCAAATCAAGCAAATGGAAATTCCCTTAGTCTGCAGGTTTGCTGAGGTGGGGGTATTTTTATTCATACTTTCATTTATTTTCTATTAATAGCAAATAAACTGGCATACTCTCTAAATCAATACGGTGTTTGCTTCAAACAACTATATTGTGGAAATATTGAAAAAAAACACAATTTTTATACGTCTTTGGAAAATTTATTTATTTTGATGGTCTGTATTTTGACCATTATTTACGCTACATACTTGCTGTTGGGCTTAAACTGTCACAAATTTATTCTTCTTTAATGTAATAGTATAACATTTTCGGTAAAATCAACGGTTCCCGAAATTGAGTGAAAAACAATAGGAATTGCCATATTTTTGATATTTCGATAACAAGTGGCGCGCCCCGCGGCGAGCGGCAGTATCTCGAGGTGGATAACTTGGATTTTATGTTATGGGCCCAATACTAACAACATATCCAAAAATCAGAACTACCCGACCTTTTGCACAGCAACCCCATATTTTCTGACGGATTTACTGGACTAATAATGAAATTTCACTTAAACTTCCATTTTGTGTCCCACCCGTGACAGTACTTTAATGCGCCATAAATTTGATAATATTACCTGATATATGACAAAGAAAGCTTGTACTGTTTCCACCATTTGTGGGCCGTCACCTAACTGACATACAGAATTCAGAATTTTTTAAACTATTTTCTTTCTGTTCAAAATCATGCATCTTATTAAAAGAATTTAGTTAAAAAAAACCATAATCTTACTCAGTTTATAGAAGAACCAATCCTTGCATGTGAGTTATGTTTGCCTAATACAAAAAGATCCACTAACTACAAATGTGGAACCCTCTATCAAAACCTTTTATTGACTAAAGAGGAATGAGTTTTTAGAAGGTATAAAAAACCATACTAATCCCTGCATTGCAATCTAACTATAAAATAAAACTAAAGATTAGTAAGGACTTTTACAGCATCATATAATCTTACCTCTACTGGTGGATTATCGTAAGCCATTCCTTTCCACCAATGTTTAAAGCCGCAAGGGCAACGATTTGCAGGGTTCTTGACAGGATCAATAGTGATGTCTCCATCCTCATAGGCTACAGTACCATCTGGATGAATTGTGCGGAGTTGGCTGTAAAGATATATCAGATAAACATAACTGATAATATATAATACACCATAGAAAAATAAAAGGTATAATTAGATACTAAGTCTAAACAACCCCCAAACCTAAACCTAATATAATACCTTTCATCTAACCCACTCCACTTCAACATCCAACCCAACTAGCAGGCTTACATATTTATTCATATATATATATATATATATATATATATATATATATAGATATAGTGCATATAAGATAAACTGAAACTGTGTTTTTTCAATTCATACTATTGGCAACACTGACTCAACAACTCACTGGCCACCATTTTGGACATCTAGAAAACTCTCTCTTCCTTAGTTGAAAATGCTGTCAGTGACAGTGAAATATTTTAATGTTTTGTGTATATAGTGTAACGATATCCGGATCCGACCATCACTAGTTCAGACATACACTTCAAATCATCGGATTGGGCGAATCTTTTAGCTAAGTGGTTGTTAGTGTATCCTATGAACATGAATGTCACCAATGGTCGTTATGCTGACTTTTGTTAAAATGACCTTCCTCTCTATAAGAGATTTTAGTAAACACCGATATATTGTCGCATAGTGCTCAAAGGGTTAAGCCTTTTTCATGTTTTGCTAAATAATAGTGATGGAAAATGTCTGCAATAAACTTTTAAACCAAATAACATAAGATAAGAATAATATAAAAATGAATATAAACTTATAGGTAAATTCATTAAGCTTATCTTTACTTACCCACTGCAAAATGTACAGTTGTCTTTAATTGGTGGAGAGTCTACTTCCAACAAGTCTTTTTGGGCGTTGTAAGTGCATGTAACACCCTAGAACATGTCAAATGACACTGTTGTTTCAGTACATATGAGACCCAAAAAATACATATACAAAGAACGTGACAAATGAGACAACAGTAGTAATGAAATATTAAATTTAAAACATTCCATTTCAGGGTGTCTGCCACATTCTGGGTAAATATTCATGGGTGATTCCCGTACATTTAAGGGCACCTTGTCTTATCAAACTGCATTAATAAAATCAGATTAATAAATCAAATCAGAGATTGGAGTTTTTTTTAGTTTGTTGCTTGACCTTCACTGTAGTTGTACCAGAGGGAAATGTAAGTAATGATAGATCAGAGTTAAGATACAAAGTAGGAATTGATTGATATGAAACAAACATTTACAGCTTTATATTGCAACAGAAACCTAATCATCGGGACCTGTGATAGCAACAAAATCAGAATAACAACTTCGGTGACAGAAACATATAATCTACATCTTTCCCAATCGCAGCAAAATCCTGAATATCATTATATATAATTGGCTACAGCAGTCTTGGAATCGTTATCGTCGTTGTCCGCGACCCCAGCAAAATCCTGAATATTCGTGTGGTCATCATCATCGTCTCCCTCGGTCACGTAAATGTTACCAAACGTCATCCGCAATCTAGGACTAATCAGTAATCATAAATATTTCTGGCGGTCATGGAGACGTTATCATCGCCATCCGCGATCACAGCAATATCCTGAATGTCTCCTGCAGTTTTGTAGACATCACCATCGTCTCTCGCAGTCACGGAAATGTAATTTATAGTCTTCTGAGAAAGCATCGTGTAGCTATCACCATCGTCTCCCTCGGTTACGTAAAAATTATCAACATTACTTTGTTTGTGGCAGAAGTGTAAATATATTTACTGAGCGAACTTCCTAGAAACTATTTAAGGACATTGTAGTATATTTTATGATTATATATATATCTTTTTTATAATTTTTATCTTGCAGCTTTTCTTGTAGAAAATCAGATTTGACGCCACATTGGTGATGTCATGTCAGTTGTATTTAAATTAATTGCTATTGGCTTCCGCACTACACTAGTCTACAGTCTGTCCTACTTCAGGGGCCACTTCACCTCCCGGTCTCACTCTGTACAGCCGTGGTTGTTAGCTCGATTTTGTGATTGTTTTTAACTAGTCCCAGTCTCCTATTAAGTTATAACGTCGCCGTTACAGATTTAAGAGCAAATCCTGTACATCTCATGGCAAGCCCAAAATTAAGCATAATTCCTGTTTGGAACCTGTCTAATCAATTCATACATGAAATTGATAAACACAGATGCCAAACTTAGGTAAAGTTTGTTTTTGATCTTAGATGGTTTAATGCACACTGAATTATCTTGGAAAAGAGCAATAAATAAACAAACCTCAAGTTGATGATGTAAGGGCGATTAAAAAGATAACTTTAAATACTAATAGTTTTGGACAAAACAAGATAATACTAATATTTAATTTGAAAAAATAGAAATTCAACAGCATAAAGCAGTAAACAGTAGAACACCAAATCATGTTGAGCTTTTAATATTCCAATCACAGAGTACGATAATGATTTTCTGTGTCCGTGGGAGACGATGATGATGTCTATAAGAATGCGAAAGATGTTCAAGATTGCCCCAATTACAGTAAACCGTGATGATGTTTCCACTTGAGAAGGTGATTGACTTCTGCACGACCGTGTCATATCTTTTAACACTTTGCCACAATCACAACAAACGTTTTTGGGACCGCAGGAGACGATAATGATGTCTGCATGACTGTGTGATATATTTTTTGCCACAATTGTGAAAAAACAAAGACGATGTTTTCTTGACCGCCGGGGACAGCGATGATGTAAAAACAATCGTGAGCGAGGTTTTGGATTTTGCTGCAATCGTGGCTTCTACGTTCTTTAAGGACAAATTTTATTACTGTGGTTTATTGGATATATTGGATCGGAGTTTGTATTATTGGAGTTCTACTGTAGTCTAAAGAATCTGCCACAGTATTTTACTCTCTGTTTTACTTATTGTTTCTCTTGGTGTTTACTAATAGCCTATTTATCAACCAGAAACAAATTGAAGGAAACAATTTTAACAAGAAAATTAGATTACCTCTTTCAATATAAGACAACTTACATATATATGGAAGGGGTACTTTCTACCGTCCATTAGGAGCCCATATTGTCGCTGAGCCATCATATATAGGAATCCTCTCGGCCGTAACCACTCCTCACTCACGATACGGCGATTAACAGCGTGACATTCTAGACATCGCTGCAGTCTGTGCTGGTTTAAAGCTGATGATGTATCGTCCACAATGGACATCATTCTCATTCCTGGACCAAGAAAGAAAAATAAATACTTCAAGTCTCTAGTAATGTGTGATCTGAGCGAAACTTTTGATGCAATTGATCATGATATTCTGGTAAACTTGAACATTGCACGGTGTTCAAGATGTGGGTTGGAAATCCAATCAATGTTATTCGTGTGGAAAAGAATGGTATGAGATTTTGTAGATGCTATTTATATATGGTTTTTTAGGATTGCACACCTCTATTCAAGATACATTTTTAGTAGGGATGGGTCAGTTGTCAAAAGTCGGTAGTCGGTTTTACCGGTTTTTAGCAAAAAAAGAAACTAAGGATTGACATTAAAAGAGTTTTCTGCGAGGCATTGTGTTATCATTTTGCCACTAGTTATTAGTTAGGAGAACATAAAAAGGTTGATCAGATGTTTGTTCAATAACTTATTACTATGTTAATAAAGCAATAAAAACCCATTAACCTCTTCATGCCCAGAGTTGCAATTTTGCAACAAACCTATTATTAATTTATATCTCTATGGAAACGTTGCTCCTTTCCTTTATTGACCATAGTTGCGTATTTGTAACATACTACTGGTAATTTTTGTGTTGGACAGTTGGCAATAGTGCAGCCTGATGATTCAGAAGCTTCCATTCTTTACTCCAAAATACATTCCTTGAAACAATTTGTTTAGCATTTTTGGGCAATCTCCCCGCTGGTAACGTTAAATATTTCAATAAATAATTTAGATTTACATTCAAAGTATAAAAGTATAACTTTTCACAGCATGTTTCCAAATATAATGCATAATTTGGTGTGTTAAAAGGTAGAGAGAATAATTTTTTGAGAAATATTTTTTGAACAGATTCTATTTGATCGCTTTCTATACATCCCCACCACACCTGAGCTCCGTAGCAGATTGTAGCTCGCACTACCGCTTCGAAACAACACATTTTAGAACATAGCGGTACTTTTGGGTTTTTAAATAAAGCACTCCAGACTGAATTAACAGCTAATTGACCTATTCTGGCTTTTTCTTTGAAATGATTACTCCAAGAAAGGGAACTTGTAAACGTGATTCCTAAATATTTGTACTCATTTACCACCTCAATAATTTTACCCATAACCACCATTTGTCGCTCGTCTTCAATTTCCCACCATTTCTAAAAACAATAATCTTTGATTTATTTAAATTTACAGTTAAATTCCATGTCCCACAGTAGGTTTCTACATTTTTTATCATGTGCTGCAGCCCGGTACTAGTTGGGGACAGAAGAATAATGTCATCAGCGTAAAGCAACATATTTATTTTCGATCCACCAAAATGGCATCCTCCTCCTACCGCCTCCGGCAGGTCATTGATAGATAAATGACAAAAAAACTGAACCGATAAAATAAGCAAGACTAATTTCATTGCTAATTTTTAACTATCCAGTAAGAACACTTTTGAACCTATTAAGGTCTCTCGGCACGACATCTCTTCAGCAAAGTCAAATTAGTTTAATTGTAACCTTACAGGGATTGTTCTTGTCTGTTACCAGCAGCCAAGATCTGATGGACATTCTTGCTTAGTCAGGGCTTGCTAATAGTTGAAAATGTATAGATTACTGTTGGTCCTCAAGCCAACGGTCTAATGTCTAATGCATCTTTACCTTCAGCTGCTGATGAAAACTTACCGGTATTCTTGTATTTATAGTGGTAAATATAGACGTCTGTCACCAGTTGAGGATCAACACCGTACTCGCTGATGAACAGATCATCCATTGAACGGGTCAGTTGTAGGATGTAGCTAGTTTGTACACTCTTTTCGCCACCTGGACAACATTATGCCATAAGTTCAATTTCATCTACAAGCACACCTTTGTCTCTGGGTCAACAGGTCTTTATATAACTGGTTTTAATATGATGTGGGAAGATATAATTTCTGAATATTCAAGCGGGGATGAGTCGTGGATTAATCAGGTAACTGTGGGGCTAAAAAACAAATGAAAATTGATATGGCCCTTGATGAGTATACTACATACTGTTGTACTGTTTAAACAATAATTATTTACTAAACTATAAAAGGATTATATTAAATGTCTATTAACAAAATACAATTTGAAGCAAAATTAAGAAACAGGAAGTAGAATGCAAGTTTGCATGTTAAAGTTCAAAGGTCAAGATCAAGGACTGAGAGGATTCACTTCACTTCTTACATACACTTCAAGTATGGCAAACCAATAGCATGTAAAATTAATATCACAGTGAGTAAAGAAGGCCATAATGGCATTTCTCACAAATCTACTTTTAACACATTCGCTGCTGAAACCTTTAAACAGGCGCTCGCCAATGGCGGCGAGGCCCGGGCGGAGCCCCGACGCGCTAACTGAATCAGCGATCGCTATTGGTATTGAAATAGCTCAGTAAGACGAATCACAAAAGAGCAGTGGTGATTGTTCTGCGTTACTCCGAAAGTGGACGTAGTTCACTGAAACACCCAAAGGTGCAGCACTGCCTGGATCAATAACCAGAGTCTTTGTAATACGGCTCGAACTGAGAAAATCCCCGAAAACGGGACAAAAGCATTGCCAGACGGGATTTTACGGGCAATTTTTGTACCAACCTACACCAGAATAAAGCTCGCATTATAAGCTACAGGCTGGTAAAGATTACAACGTTCCCCGACAATGGCTGAGCTCAAATTGAAACAATAAACATGACATGGCGCGCTCCCCCACCCGTGGACCCCCCGCTCCTCAGCTGAGACGCGCGGGGTCCACCGGTGGACCCGCCGCATCGAATGTGTTAAAGCGGTCCTTTGCTAAGACAATACACAGTGTGTCTCACCTAATGTGAACCAATAGCTATCTTTCTTTTATTACCGGTATGAGAAATAGAGTTAACTTCTTATGAGACACTCCTTTTTATTTTTTAAGTTGGTTTTGGGATGGTTTTGAATGTTTAAAATATGATCTCCATTTTCCAATATGGCTGACAAATTTGTTATTTTTTATAGAAGACCCTGTATTATATGATTGTCTTAGAATATAAATATGATTTTAAAAGTTTTTATTGTTGAAGCTAACTATTGCTCTAAAGCTACTCGTTTAGGAGTTACAGCGTGTTGCACCTAAGAAAAAACTGTGGTTATTGCAATGTTGATAGCTTAGTATGAATGAAATAAATTTGGTTAAAATATAGGCCTATATAAACAAGCAAACTACAACAGTTTATTCAGGGGTGCCCACAGAATGATTTGATAGCGCGTTAAAATATAGGCCTATATAAACAAGCAAACTACAACAGTTTATTCAGGGGTGCCCACAGAATGATTTGATAGCGCGAATCGCGCTATACAATTGGATTTTGGGGGGGGGGGGGAATTTGAGATTTAATGATTTTGTTTTTAGATTTGGGGGGGAACTTTTTGTCAACAAATAATTATTTTTATAATGTATGGACATTACGAGACAAGCTGTGCTCATGATCGAGCATAAATATAAAACATAATACAACTCGTCAAGTTTAGCAGAGACGTAGGAATTGGCTAACTCAGGAACTCGCTAACTCGGTCGTGTGTCGGAACTGGCTAACTCTGGAACTGGCTAACCGTCTCAGTCAGGAATTGGCTAACTCCGGAACCCGCTAACTCGATTTTGTCTCGCGGCGGAATTCGCTAACTCTGGAAGTCGCTAACCCGGCTGCGCCCACTGCACGGAGCGTTGCCAACCTTGTACGACGAAATAATCGTACACTGCCGTATTTCAAAATGTCAGTGTCAATGAAGATACAGTAAATGTTATTGTTATTTGTTATCAATTCTACTTTTAACAGATAACTAGCCCAAAGTAATTCAAAGACAATTAAAAAATCATGAAAAGGTGTTTTCTTTCATTTAACTGTACAATGGCCAATTAAATGTTTATGATTTCGATCTTAAATATAAATGCCATCAGTATAAAAAAAAATAATAGAATATGAAAAATATTGAAAATTCAGTTTAATAGGTACCGGTACTAAATAATTAAACCTCTACGAAATTAAGCTAAAATAAACGCAAGTTCTCAAACACGGAAAACAAATTTAATCGTAATGTTGTAATAAACCAAAACTATTAACTAATACAGTCATCAACCATCGTAACTTTCATAACTAATTCATAGATTTAAAATTAAATGTTCGTCGTTAAATCGTCCAAAAGTGTGCAAATACATGTTTCATATCAATTTATAGAATAGCTGTAGAGGCCTAAATCTATTCCTAATAGTTTAAACAAAAGCATTGTAGGCTTACTAGTAAATAGTTGCCTGATTCTAAAATGTGTTGACATTTTTTGTAATAATGTTACATGTTTTAAAACAGTTTTTAGATTGTACACCTAAGCATCACTAGTAAATAATAGGAGAAGATATAATATTCATATAATAAAACGTGACAGGTTTATTTTAATTCACGATTCTTAATCAACGACTTGACGGATTTTCCTGATTTGAGTGTTGGGTTTCCTTTATATTGCTTTCACAATTGAAATAAACTATACCAAGCCATTGCTCAATTCCCCGTTCCCCGGTACTGAGCTACTAAATAGACAATAGCTTTTTTTTTATAAGATCAGGTAATTTTAGCTATGCCCTATGGCCACATTCATAAAAATGATAACAAACAAGAACGACTGGGTCCATTTGGAACCATAAAAACTCCAGACTTTTAAAAAGTAGGCCTACTGAAAGATGTAAAATTAATATTAATTAAACAAAATTAGGAGGATGACCCGAGTTCTAACTAATAGCCTAAGATAACAGAAATTTACAAGTTGTATTTATGCATAGACAAATTTGTAATGCAATCCATGAATATGTTAGGCCTACCTTTATAATATCATGTATTGATCAATATTTATTAAAATTCAATAGCTCTATTTAAAAAAATACATTACCACTGCAATATATTTCTGACATAAAACGTGTAAATTTTATCATGATTTATGATTCAATTTTATGATTCAAGGTTACAAGCCCAGTATATAAAATACGAACTTAATAATTTTATTTACAGAAGTTCACAAAATGGTATTTATTTGAATAAAAGAAACAAATGGTGGACTACGAAAATAGATATTTCATAACATGTAAAAGATCCAAATTAAATGTATAGTATTATCTTTTTGCATACCAATAAGCTACTTTTAAGTAAGAAAACCACATATAAAACATACCCCCTTATATTAGTACATTTCTCATCCTTATGGTTCAGCTGAAGGTAGTTTTATCGTTAGATCTGTTCGGTGCACTGTCTTTAAAGTAAAGGTCGTGTTTTGTTTACAATTGTTTCTTGTTTTCAGTAATTTAAAATCTCGTTTAACCAAAGAAAAAGTTCTAATCACAACTAATAACACGTCCCCTGGTTATATAACCAAACAGTAAAGAACAAATAAAAAAGTTAACTACAAAATAATAGAAACACGATTTCGTCGACACTAGCGATCAGTGTCACCGGACATGAACTAGACACGAACAACGAGCTTCAAAGTTTACAATGGGATGTAAAGTTTACTTGTGTTGGTTAGTCTATGGTAGGACTATAATGCATTTTCTACCCTAATAATCATAAGAATTATATTAAACATACTTCTGAGTATATATTTATTTAATCGAGTACGTTGCTCTTAATTCTAATTATTTGTAGGATACGACATTATGGTACCGATATAGGTACTACACTTTCGGCATCACTGGCTAAAAATCTTCGTGCTTGGCTCCAATTGGATGGCCCGCGAGGCTTCTGATTGGGAGTTAGCGAGTTCCGCCTAGGGACCGAGTTAGCGACTTCCGTACGAGGACGGAATCCGGCTCTAGATCGGGTTAGCGGGTTCCGGAGTTAGCCAATTCCGAAACCGAACAAGTTAGTGAGTTCCTCTCATCGACCAAATTTGAAGATAGGGCGTTTAACATGGGGTTAGCGAGTTCCAGAGTTAGCCAATTCCGCGGACCCGTTTAGCATGGCCAGTGAGATGCGCTAGCACTGTACTGGCGGCAACCAAGTGACGAGTGAGCTCTCCCTCCACTACTCGAAATTCGCTAATGTGGTGGGTAGTGTTATATAGTCAATGGATCTATTATCGCTGGGAATGCTGAGCGCTAGTGTAGCTTTGTTTACATCCCGATTCCTGCTGCCCGTGTTAGGTGTATGTTGTACACCAACCGGCAAACGAGTTGTAAAAGTATGAAATATTTTATGAACTAATAAGTACACTTTTAGTACATTTCGTGATATTATTACAGATTTATTAGAGTATGTAGCCATACTACGATTTTGACGATTTTAGTGATAATTTAAATTTAAAGGCGTGATGATGGTGTGGTGATGTTGTTGTGAAGTGGGTGTTTGTGGTTCAAATGGGGTTAGTAGAGTAGACATAACAGAAAGACTAGACCTACTAAGTAAAATACTTGAAGTAGTCTACTAAATTAATAGAATTAATTATACTTTCAGCAAAATACTTGTTATATTTTAATATTATTAACTCACAGTTTGTTGTGATGATTGACACAACGGTAGGCCTAACCTAATTTCGTTTAATTTTAGCTTTTGACAATGAATGAAGTGGGTAATCTTTTACATTAAACTTTACTTTTCTAACCTCGCTCTGGAGGAAAAATTACCAATTAAAAAAAAAGCTGGGATCTCACCTACCTAAAGGCTTTACATTTTCTCAAGAAGATGGTCCCAAGAAAATTAGAACATTTTGCACTTCTTGGTTTGAGAAAAAACCTTGGCTTACGCCAAGTGTGAGCAAAGGGAGTCTGTTTTGTTTTTATTGTATATTGTTGGG